GCAAATGGGATAAACCCATAAAAACAACGAGCAGCCACATAAATGCAAATAATAATATAAAGTTTAAACGGAACAGTAGAGAAAATCCGATCAAGAATGACAAAACAAACTAAATATCCACTGGAAAAAAAAATAAAAATATATATATATATATATATACATACATATACACACACTATACAGATATATAAAAACATTTACAAAAACTGAAATACTATTAGGCTAGCACTTATTCTCTTTTGTTCAAATGGTGGCTCTGAAAAGAGCCGTTTGGTTTGATAGATGAACAGCTTATCCACCGAATCCGTACAGGGTTCGGCCTTGTCTCTTCAAAGCGTAGACGACATCCATGGCGGTGACGGTCTTTCTCTTAGCATGCTCGGTGTATGTGACGGCATCACGGATGACATTTTCAAGGAATACTTTTAATACACCACGGGTCTCTTCGTAGATGAGACCTGAGATACGCTTTACACCACCACGACGAGCAAGGCGACGGATAGCTGGTTTGGTGATACCCTGGATGTTATCACGCAACACCTTACGATGACGCTTAGCGCCTCCTTTTCCAAGCCCTTTTCCTCCTTTACCACGTCCAGACATATTGATTACTGTTAATATTCGAAGTTCGATCCGAAGTGTGATGTTGGCTAGAATTCGCTAAATTAATATAGCCTGTATACGGACGTAATATGAATTACCGAGTATTGTTTGGTAAGTCATGCACTGACCTTGTGCACTTGCATTGAATAGCGGGAGTTTTTAAAGAAGGTAGATTGCGCTAAATTCTAGACAGAGGTCTAATTATTTGCTTTTGTTTGTGTCCTTTGATATTTTTAAGCTACAGCTTCATTTTTAAATTATCTTGCTTTTCCTTTTTGGCGCGAATTTCCCACTGCGTATAGTCTGTTGATTGATTCCTATTTGAAAGTTTATAAACCATCACTAGATAGCACGGTACCTGTTCATGAAATTAGTAATATTTATTAAGATGTTGATTGCTATAAGTATATTAATATTAATCTATTGTTTTATAAATGCATATGAATATACATCTCATTACCGCGATAACAATTTCAATAAGTTGCACAATCATTTTAAAAAACCTTCGCCTCGAGCACTACTGCTGTAGATTTGTGCGCTTTACAATTTTTGTTATTATTATTGTTATTATTAAAACACAAATAACTTTCAGTTTTGGCTATCTAAAAAAAAAAGTTCTAGACCCAACATTGTTTATCAGACCCAAAATATTCTACAGTTAGCAGATAATAATTTTAGGCTATTTCTACTTAGACAATTTTGTGGTTGTGCGGACTTCCAATTATACGACCATGAGTTTAGGGGTCAGATCTAGGGAACAAAAAAATAATGCAGAAGTTAGAGAGTATGAATGTAAACCCATATTATATAACCATAGAGAAAATAGAATAGTTTTATTTTCTCTATGATATAACTGTGGCTATACTACTTTTTCAATTCAATAATAATTTTATTCCAATATCAAACAATACAATTATCAGCAAAAGAAATACAAAGGTAGTGGATAAAGGAATGGGTTACAAAATAAGCAAGAAAATGCTTTAAATATGTAACCCTGCAAAAAAAACATTAATTAATACATATAAACACAATATACAAAATTATAAAGAGTATAACATCAAGAAATAGCATAAAAAATATATGGACCTATCATAGTTAACATTTATTTTTATGTTTTTCTATAAGATACTGAGACAATTGCTTTTTAAATTTGCTTATTGAGTCTAACTCTTTTAATTCATCATTTAAATTATTCCAAATTTTTTCCCATTGATAAGATATAGATTGTTGCCCTACGCTTGTTATTTCGATTTCTAGTGCTATAGTTATGGAATGATTCAAATGTCTTAAATAGGTTGTTAAATGATACAGGCAGTAGATTCTTATAATATTGGTACATAAATATGGCACAGTTTTTTAAGTAAAGATCAAAAATATTTAATGTTTGAGTAATAATAAACAAAGGATTTGAAGGATGCAAGCGGTCAACATGACAGATATTTTTTAATGTATTTTTTGGAGTATGTACAAACGATTTTAATTACTAGCAGACGTGGTAACCAATGATGTAATTGCATAAGTTAATCTAGGATGTATAAGTGCATTGTATATTGTTAACATTATTTTACTTGATAATATTGGTTTGACTAATATAGCCCAAAACACCAAGGTAAATACAGTAGCATCCTTCTTTAAATGTTTATAGCACCCCACTTATGTTCTCCATCAAACATATCAGATATAAGCTGATGATAAAGTCATGCTGTGTGAAGAGTCTAGTAATAAACTTAAACTTGCTTTTAACTGTATGCTTTGTGTCAAAACAGTCATAATATGAAATGGAAATTAATAAATCATGTCGGCCCTAAGTCATATTTATAAACGTGAAATGGAACATAATTTTATTGATTCGCATGACTTTAATAAAATTGTTAAGGAAAATCACTTTGGGTGTGCGTGTGTGTATATATATATGTACATTATATACATTAGGAAAACCAAGGAAAGAAAATATTGGTATGCCACCAGATAATCTGAAATAGAATGTAAAGTACAGAAAAATGCAAACCAAGAGTACTAGAATGCTCTTAAAAGATGTGTAATGGACTATATCTAATATATATTTAATTTAACGTAAAAAGCTATTGATCTCTTTTGTTCAAATAGTGGCTCTGAAAAGAGCCGTTTGGTTTGAGAAATACACCATCTACTTCTTAGATTTCTTTGGAGACTTAGCAGCCTTCTTGGCTTTTGGCTTCTTTGCCGTAACTTTTTTAGGAGACTTTGTCTTCTTTGGCTTGGTCGCTTTCTTCTCTGACTTTTTTGCCTTCTTTGGTGACTTGGAAGCCTTCTTTGCTGGCTTCTTAGCCTTCTTGGCAGCTGGTTTCTTAGCTTTCTTTACAGCTTTCTTTACAGCTTTCTTTTCTTTTTCTGCTGCTGCCTTCTTCTTAGCCTTTTCTTTTTTAGTCTTTGCAGCTGCATCTGCTTTGGCTGAAGCCTGGTTTAGTTTGAACGATCCGCTAGCGCCTGTGCCTTTGGGCTGGGCTAGTTTTCCGCTATCGACCCCGCGTTTTAAAGCGATCTTAAGGTGGGTGTTCATGCTACCAGCATCAACCTTGTAGTTGGCTTGAATGTACTTGGCGATTGCCTGACGAGAAGAACCATTTCTTTCTTTCAAAGCACCGATGGCAGCAGTGATCATCTCAATGTAAGTTGGATGAGATGCTGGCTTTTTAGGAGCAGCCTTCTTAGCTTTGGTTTGTTCAGTCATTTTGTAAGGAACTGTTTACTAGCGACAACGAGTTTAGACGTTACTTGAACTGTAAATGCCGAAGGTAAACAAATCCGCTAATTTGTATACGTTCAAAGCGGACCTGGTATGCAACACTTAATAGGATCGTTGTGAAGACATTGTTGCATTGGCGCGTATTTTCAAACTTCCATGCCAGGCGTATTGAAAATCATTATAATAGAAGAAAATCATTATAGTTCACATTACAATATTATTAGGTACTTTATATGGACTTTCATTACTTCAGTATAGGTTTTGTTAATTATGTATGTGTG